GCCTGCCCCTCACGAACACTCGCAGGACAAGCGGGAAGCGGAGCAGGGACACCAGTAGTCACACGCGCACATTCCCGCGCGTGCCAGCACAGGCCGGGCACCTTTCACCCTTACAGGACACACGCAGGTGTGTAAGGGCCCTGCGAGCTGACACAAACATGTGCAGAGACACTTGGGGACAGCATCCAGTCTCTCACACCTGCAGGACACACAGTCGCATGCACACATACATGCAGAGTTGGTGGAGGCTCACACCAGCCCGAACACACACACCCCCTAACAGTACACGCAAACACATGCATAGAGACAGGGGCGGATTATCCAATAAACAAGATAAACGCGGGCTTACTCGTGCTTATTTACTAATCTGCAGTGAACAGTTTTGCATTTTTTCACCACATCAAAGGTTCTGCTTCTAGGTATGGCTAGCATCTGTCTCTCTCCCAACCTCACAGCACTCTCCTGCAGAACCAAAGCCTGTTTTAACATCCCTGACAGGGGCAGATGACTCAGTAAGCAAGGTAAGCACAGGATTACTTGTGTTTACTTACTAATCTGTAGTGAACAATCTGACATGGGTTTCGTTTTGATGTGGAAGGGTGAAAGCCATGTGAAATTGTTCCACAGATTAGTAATTTAGCACAAGTAAGCCCATGCTTACCTTGCTTATTACATAATCCGTCCCTGCATAGAGGTGATCCAGGATATCCAGGGCACAGCTTCCCATGCCCCCAAGCATGCCTAGCAGGACACACACACACAGAAGTGATTGGGACACTCACAGGCATGCCTTCCCCCACCACGCACATCCCCTAGCAGGACACACAGACACACTAGCAGGACATGTTCACCTCCGCTGTATAAGGACAAGCCTAGCACTCTCTGCTCACACATCCTCTCCAGTCATGCACAAACCCGCAGTCTCTATAATCTCAGGTCAGTCCCTCAGTCAGTGATGGTTTGAAGGACTCAGCTCACCCATGGGCACAGGGTGAGTGAGATCACTGGCCAGGGCCGGGGTCAGGAGGGGTGAGGGTCAGCAGGCCTGGGCAGAGGCGCCCTTCCCAGTGCCTGATGAGTCAGGCAAAGGTGGAAAGGCAGGGTGTGGTCTGCCCGCCTGCTCAGGCCTCACGTGTGGTCAGAAAACTAAACAAATCCCAGCCAGACAGCTCTGCCCAGCTGTTGTCCGTCCTTCTGGAACCAGAGCTCTGTTGGGAAAGGCTGCTGCTTATCCAGGTGTGTCCCCAGAATGCCCTGGGCCCGGACAGAATGCTGTTTCCTCTCTGGCTCCCACTGACACGTCAGAGACACTTATCTTCTTGGCCGAGTTCCTTCCAGGAGTCTGAATGAGGGGCCCCAAGCCTGTGTTCCCCCCACTGTAACTCCTGGGGAGGGATGGGGAGCAGAAGAAAGAGAGAAGAGGCCTTGCCCTTATCACTTCCAGGTGTGTGATTCTGGGCAGGTCATTTGATCTCTCTGAACCTCAGTTTCCTCAACTATGAAATAGGTTTAATATCAACTCCACGGCATTGCAGGGACCCCAATTTAGCACAGAGCATGGCAGGTGAGAAGGGTTGGCTTTCCCTTCTCCCTTTCCTTGGGAGATGAGACTCCCCATAAGAAATGATGGCGAGTCCTATGCTGCCTCATGGTAAGTGCTGAAATGGGTGGCGATGGTCATTACCCGCCTTCACGGATTACTGGGCCAAGAATGTACTGGGCTATCGTTTCATTGGTTCCTCACACGAGCCCATTAGGCAGGGAGGCATGCTGTTCCCATTTTGCAGGGGAGGAAATTGAGGCTCAGAAAGAGAAAATGACTTGCTCAGGGTGACAAGTGGCTGGTGGCAGAGCTGGGATTAGAACACAAGTGTCTTGACTTTTTTGATGTTTCCAACCCCTAGTACCATCAGAACTCAAGGGAGGCAGAGCAGAGCTGGAAACTCGGGAAAAACCTAGGGCTTCTTGGACAGAAACCACCTGAATGAGAAAGAGGTGGAGGAGGGAGAGAGAGAAGGCCGCCAAGAGCCTCAGGGATTACAGTGGGAATGAAATGGCCTGGGGGCCCTTTAAGGACAATCTCCCAAGAGTCAAAGGCCAAAGGAAGGACACAAAAGCCTGGGAAGATAGCCTGACACAGTGGGTTCCTCATTTCTAGGAATGCTTAAGGGGATTAGTCCTTAAAAAGGCACAGAAGTGACCCGCATCGCAAAGTGATTATGTACTGATATGGGGTATTAAAATACAAGACACCGAACTGTCATTTCATTATTCCTTCACTTGAGGAGCAAGAGGGTATTGTCATCATTTGACAGATAGGGAAACTGAGGCTTCTGGAGGTCAAGTGACTAGCAAGAGGTAGACTGGGGGGAAGAACCTATGACCTAACCCAGTACTCTTTTTAATGAGTCAAGGCCATACCCCTATGTCCTCTGCGGGTGGGGAAGGAAGGAGGAAGCCGACCAGATTCTCCCTCACCTCTTGACCTTCTGGGGGTCTGGCTTCTCGGAGGATTAACTCATAGCTCCTGGCTCTGCAGGAGATGGCTCTGAGGAGGGTCTGGGACTGGAAGAACCAGCCTCCAGAAGCACCAAGCCCGGGAAGCCCAGGACGCCTGCTGAGGAAACATGAGGTATCTGTGGGGTTAGTTTCCAGCAGGTAGTGGAGTCAAGGGCCACTTTGAGGTCTGAATGTGTCCATCTTGGGACTCAGATGGGGTGGGGGTCCCTGGAGGGAGAGAAGTGGTGATATCTGGGCAAGTCCAGTTTCTAGAAAGAGCACGGGCCAAGGAGTCAGACAGACTATGTATAACTTTGGGCAAGTGGCTTAATTTAGGCCTCAGTCTCACCTGTGAAATGGGGAGAATATGAACAGCCTTGTGAGAATTAACTGCAATGATAGCTACAAAGCGCCTGGCACAATGCCTGGCATGTAACAACCAGTTGCCATTGAGATGATTCTGACTCATGGTGACTCCATGTGTTTCAGAGCGAAACTGCACTCTATAGGGTTTTCATGGCTGGGACCTTTTGGAAGCAGATCACCAGGCCTTTCTTCTGAGGTGCCTCTGGGTGGGTTTGACCTGCCAACCTTTCGGTTAGCAGCTGAGTGCTTAACCATTTTGCACCACTCAGGGACTCTGGCATGTAACAAGCACTCAGAAAATTGTAGTTCCCTTGTCATTGACTTCCTGGTGCAAACCGTCACCCTACTCCCTATGCCTGCCTCAGTTTCTCCAACAGTGAAATGCAGTTGGCTGCCCTCTCTCTGTCTGCTGTGAGGACCAGGTGAGGACACCGGGGAGGAAACGCATTGAGAAGTTAATGTACTTGTCAAGGCTGGGGCAGCCGCTGGCGTGTGTGGGATCTTAAAGCAGCTGGACGTGTCCAGACCCCATCCATCATGTTGTCTTCGTTTTTCCATGCTGGGGTGGGCGGCTCTGCAGCTGCACTGGCCCTTGGCAAAGTTAAGTGGGTCGAGTCAGCCTTTGTTCACAGTGCTGGACCTTACTTCTCCCCTACCTGCTTCTCCCACACGCAAAGCCTCTCGAAGGTCCCTCCTCAAGGAGGTAGAAGTGTGTGTGCCCTCAGAGGACGGTCCAGGCGTCTGCACCACCAGGATGTCTATTCACAATGCAGAGCCCAGGCACCACCTCCCCACATCCACTGACTCAGAATTTGGGATTTGGGATTTGAGATGGGAACTGTGCTTTCACCAGCACGCCTGGATTATGTCTATGCACAATGAAGGTTGAGAATTGCTGGGTTAGAAGGTGCTGATGGATTAATACAGTGATTCTCAACCTGTTCTGTTGCCTCCACACTGCTCACATGTGCAACACATGTCCCTCACTAAGACCTCTCAATATTTAGCAATTCTTAACTGGGGAGGCAAGGCTCTGTCTCGAGGGGGTGTTGGAATTTCCAGAGCGGTTTGGTGAAGCCCCACTGGGGCGTTGGATGCACCCTCACTTTAGGCATTGTGACCTCTTTCCTGGCTGAGAACCACCAGTTAAAACCTTTCCTCCCATTGGGTAACATGCATTTTAGAGGAAATGACCTCTAAGATGCACTTGGCTGGGTGTCCTTGGTTGGCATCTCTGGCTGGTGTCTGCGTGCCCTTGGAGGAAGGGGCCCTCCCTGGGCCTGGCTTAATGTGTACCCCCAGTTTCCACCCTTCCCTGATTCCTGGAGAAGATAGAGTCCTGTGCAAATAGAACCTTCTCTGTATCAATAGGAATTTTCAACCCAAAGGAGGAGCCGATTGAGGAATTTCAAGCACGGTTGCTGGTGGATGGAAAGAGTCCTTCCAGGGGCTCCTGCCCATTCATTTATTCATGAATTCACGTTTCAACAAATATTTATTGAGCACCTATCCCGTGACAGGCCCCGTGCTGCGTTCTGCAGGGGGCCTGGTGGTGAATGAAGCCCCATTTTTCTTGAGATTCCAGATGACGGAGGGTCAAATAGGAAAGGATGTTAGGAACCGTCCGCTCTGGCCGTCCCTGCCTCCTCCTTTGTGCACGCCAAGGTCTTGGTGCGGAAAGCTTGGTGGACCACCAATGTAAACAAGCCAAATTAAGTGTTTGCAATCTAGCTCGCGGCTGCTGAGAGGCAAACTTGATGTATTAAGCAATGTTAAAAATGCAGCTCTTTCTGATAATTTATTATGCACATTTTCATAAACACATTATGCTCGTCACAGTACATTTACTTGGGCCAGGCCTACCAGTGGGGAAAAGTTAACACTTACCTAATGATGTTGTTCTGCAGATGTCAGGTGCTCTGGAGCTGCAGTGATGGGCTAAGTAGCTAGCTCAGAGAGATGCTCGTCTTCTTCCCCTCCTGGGACACCTATAGAACAGTTTGCAGACCACAGGGCTGTGAACCCCTCACCTCACCCACCCCTTTTGCTTTCCAGATGAGGAAACAGGCCGAGAGAGGTGGACAGACTGGCCCGAGGTCACATGGGGCAAAGCTGGGACTTGAACCCAGGTCTCTTTCAATGATATAGAATTTTGCATTAGTTACCAGTTGCTGTCTATTGGATTCTGACTTACGGTATGTCAGAGC